TCATGAGATGGCAATTCTAAACAATATCTGTGATAAATCATTCCTCCTGCGGGGGCCAGCAGCTCCCCTCACCCGACCCTGGGACGCAAAGGGAATGAGCCTGGGGCGTCTCTGAGCTTCTATGGAGACCCTGGCATCACCCAAAGCTCAGGCTTCAAGAACTTTAGTTGCAAGGCTTGGCCCTGCCCCCCACGCCTCACCAAAAACCCTCATCACAGAACCGCAGGCACAGTGTGCTGAGGAGAAACTCTGGGTTCAAATCCCAGCTCACCCACTCCCGAGCTGCGTGCGCTTTATCTAACCTCTGTGTCCACTCCTCGTTTATGAAACGGTGGTGATGATGTAAGCGAGTCACAGGCTGTGGTAAGAGTTGGAGTTCAAACGGTAACGTGCTTAGAGCAACGCCTGGCACGACAGACACGACATACGGGCTCCCTATTATTAGAACGGCCTCTCCCACAAGTTATCTGAGCAGAGGCGACACTTCCACAACGCCCAGGAAGGAGAGCCTGAACTGGAATCTGCCTGAATCCACGCTGGGCCCTGTCTCCAGGGGAAAGCCCAGAAGCATGGATGCCTCCCTTCCCTTAAACCAGTGGTCGGCAAACTGCGGCCCCTTGAGTGTGGCTCTGCCACAAAATACCACATGCGGGTGCGCACGTACGGTGCGATTGAAACTTCGTGGCCCATGCGCAGAAGTCGGTTTTTGGCTCTCAGAAGAAATTTCCATGGTCGTACTGTTGATATTTGGCTCTGTTGACTAATGAGTTTGCCGACCACTACCTTACACCAATAAAAGCCTGCAGACAGAGCACCCAGAAGCCCCAGACTCTGTTCAAATCTTTTGATGGCAGAGAAAAAAACAAACCCAGGGAGGTGCCCAAGTCGCACGCTGGACCCAGAATTCCTTCACATGCACCTGAAGTGCTAACTCTGGACGTCCTGCCAGGGGCGAGGGATGTGGCTGGCTCTTATGAGGCCCCTGGAGGACACATGATGGACCCAGAGGTACCAGACCTGGACCCAGCCACAGTAAACACAATGGACAAGATGGGGGTGAGAGAACAGCAAGAGACCAAGGCCCTCAAGTCAAACTGTCACCCCCTTAGCTGCCATCCATCGGTCTTCCTATAGTTTATCACTAGGCTAACATAAAAATGAAAACAACAGCAACAAAGTCTTTCATTTTTGGAAACTCAAACCACTCCAACCCAAGATTCCCCTTCCGGTAGGCGGCCCCCAATGGCTAATTACTGTAACAGTATTACCTTGTGTTATGAAAGTAAAGTCTAAATTTTCAAAACAGAATGTTTACAAACCACACACATCTTTCCCCAGAAACACTCTACTACCCAGCCATCCCTCAGGAATCCCTAACACGGGACGTGTTTGTGTCTGAGGTAGAGCCAGTCCTGAGCAGGCTTCATGTGCTGTGTTCCCGCACCTTCCAGAGCTTGGGCACCACGCATGGCCTGTCTGGGGGAGAGTATTGAGACCGACACGTAGCTCTTCCCCTTCAGACCCTTCCCTTAATCCCTCCTGCTCTCCCGAGCTTTCCAAGGGTAACACATGTTCTTCCCTGGAGGCAGAAAAATGCCAATGCCCCCTGAAGCTTGCATGAGCACAATGTGCCCCCCAATAATGCTGTAACATGGCAAACTTCTGGTGGTCACCCAAGCGAGCCCTGTGGTTCCACAATCAACCTCCACTTTTACACATGCTACTAGAGGCCCAGTGCATGAATTCGTGCATGGGTGGGGGACTCCAGCTCACGTCCCAGCCTCGCAGCTCTGCCTGGCACCACGCCTTGGTTTGGTGCCACCCCCTCACCTGCTCCACCATCCCGCCTGTGTGGGCAACAGATCTGGGCTGGGCCCTCCACTCCCCCTCCCACCGATGCCACAGCTGGTTGCAGTCTGCAGGGCTATCTGTGTGTGGGGGAGGGGGCGCGCCCCCCCCTACTGTGCTCCCTCAGTACCTGGGAGCTGGGCAGCGGCCCCGCCCCCCATCACTGGTTGCTATCTGTGGGGCAATCAGCAGGCAACCGGGTCCCGTTCGCACCTGCCTTGGCCTGGCACTGCCCACTCTCCTGCTCCACCATCCCACCACGATCCTGGCCCTGCTCTTTTTGGGGCCCATCAAGGCCAGCAGCGCCTCCAGGACTCTACCACCCCCTGGTGGTCAGTGCACGTCATAGCGAGCAGTTGAACTACAGGTCAATCTACTGCCCAATCTGCATATTAGGCTTTTATTATATAGGATTCTCTCTTTTTGGAATGCCTTTCCCACCCTTACTGGACTAACAACCTCTTACTCAGCCACGTCTCAGGGAGGGCAGACCTCGTAACTTCTCAGTGGCACCACCCTATCACTTGCTCATATCCCCTTATTTTATATACCATTGTATTCAACATCCCCTCACTTGCTGGCAAATCCTCCTGACCCCCCAGTCTGTGATCTTTCACCTATATTCCTGACCCTCATCCAGAAAAGGAACCTCATATTTATGACATGGATGAAGGCCCCATGGATAAGGTGGGCAGGGAGAGCCCAGGCTATAAAGACAAAGCAGTTGTCCAAGAGTCAAGGCTATGCAAAGATGAGCAGCCCCACTGAATCCCCATCCAGGAACCATGATAATGCACCCTTCTCCAGTGATCTAACACTGTTAGGATTTGAGGTACTATGTGGGCCAAGTAGGATGCCTGGATTTTTCTAGGGTTGCTTTAGTTAACCTCCACAGTCAGCTAGGAAGAGCCAGCCTAGGTGAGCGATGAGAATAAACCCTACTACTCATGCCGATTCCTCAGGGGGGGGGGCTCTGAGAGGTAGCAGAACTAACCGCCTAGGGGGCATCTAAGCTGAAGAGAAGGAGTCCAGTTCCAGCTCAACCCACCATTCTAAGATGGAACCCCAGCAAGAAAGCTCTCGGCCCCGTCACTGTTCAGAAGGCTAATTGGGGATGGGGGCCACTCCTTGTGCTTCCCTGACCAGGCAGACACTGGGCTCCAGGAGATCCCCAGAGCTCTTAGTTTTAGATCTTTATGGACAGGGCCCTCCACCAGTACCAGCTGCACCGACTCCCTGACCCCTATGGTGCTGCGGCCACCCCACTCCCAAGGAGCAGCAAGGATTCCACTTCTTGAGGATTCTGCCCTCTCTCTCAGAAAAGGCACTTAGAAAAGGTGACCGATACCTGAAATGTTTTCTCCAAGACTAGCCTGGCCACGCGGTTCACCCTTCCCACTTCAAAGGGGTAGGTCTGAGGGTTAGCCCAGCCTCGTGGGCAGTGTGAGGTCCCGGCTTAAGTCAACCCTCTCGCAGAAGTGGCATTCTGGGTCCCTGTCCAGCTTTGTAGGAGACAGATTCTCTCCCTCCATTTCAGCCCACCCGAAGGCCAAGCAGAGGCCCCACGCACCAGCAACCCTGGCACCCTCCCCCGGCTCTAAGGGGGCAATTCTGAACCACCAGGTAGAGTCAGGATGGGGTTAAGGTCCAAAAACGCCAAGACCTGTGGGCATCAAGATCCAAGGAGGACAAGACCTTCAGGAGCCAAAACAACTCCACCACACCAGAGCCCACATCACACGAGTGGACACAGTCAGGCCGTCCCTTGCCACAGAGTGAAGAGTTGTGCATCCCGCTTCCCCCCTCCCTGCTCCAAAAAAAAAAAAAAAGCAGAATTTAGACCTAGATTCTCAAGATGTCATGCCATTGGTGGACTGGGGCTGGCAGCAGGCTCTGAATTGCTAAGAGTGGGAGCTGGCAGTGTGACCCTCCCACCATCCCTCCCACTCTGAGGAGCCCAGCCCAGCAGTGGGGCTGTGGCCGCCATTCTGCACCAAACCTATAGCACGGCCAGGCCAGCTGCTACATCCCTGGAATGGAGGGGGGGAGGGTGTAGCAACACCAGCCCCCACCAAGGGGCTCTGCGGTTTCTCCCCCAGACCAAGGGGAAGGGAGCTCAGGATGGATAACTGGTCCTTGGTTTCCTGGGCAAGAGCATGGCAGGGTGGGGCAGGAAGGGTCTCTTGGCCCCGGCGTGACACAGCAGAGGCCCAGGCCCTTCAGGGAGCTGCAAACCCTGTCCCCTGTCTACACCAGCTTTTGTCTTTGTGGCCCAGCTCCTGGTCCCCATCCACTGAGAGCCATTTCCACCACCTCACACACCCCCCCCCCACACACACACACACATCCCTGATTTCACGATCCCATTCACCACCCAGCTGCGGGAGATTCCACGAAGCCACCTCCTACTCCCAAGTCTTAGCACATGGTCGGTGGGCCAGCAAATGGGCGCTTCTACTTTCGGAATCCATCCAGGCCAGCTCCGGGGTTCTCGCCTGGCTGCCTGGGCGGAACCGAAGGGAGGAGAACGGGGAAGTGTCTTCAGGCATCTCCTTCCCAACTCTTAATTAACTGCCGGCTGCCCTCTTCGCCGCCAAAGCCCAGGTTCTGGGGCTGGGAGGGAAGCCGGTCCACGCGCCGCCGCCACCACAGCTCCGGTGATTCCAGGTGCCGGCGGCTGCCCCAGGCCTCCAAGGTCACGGGGAGGGTCAGGGTGGAGAGGGCATGGACGGTGCCGCCCGCCCGCCCGCCGAGCTAACCCCGCTCCGTTCCTTCCAGCCGCGGTGGGAGTCCCGGCCACGCGGGGAGGCGCCGGGGAGGGGCAGCGAGTGGGGCCGGGAGTGGAGGGCGAGGGGCGCGCGGGCAGAGGCACCGGGAGGCGCGGGGCGGCGGGTGCCGCTCGCCCCCCACGGGACGCACGGCCGGCGGCCGGCGCACGGCCCGCCCCGAGCCCGGGAGGGCGGGGAGACAATGCCCGCCCGGCGGGGCCGTCCGGGCCGTGCGCTCCCGCCCGCCGGACACAGGCTGCTCCTCCCCGGCCGAAGGGCAGCGGCGGGAAGGCTCCGGGAGCGATGGCCGGACCGGCCGGGCGCGCCCTCCCTCCCGCCCACCTCCGCGCGCTTCCCCCGGCCGGTCCCGGGGCGCAGACCCACCTCCTCCTCCAGGGCGCCGCCGGAGCCCGTGCCCGTGCCGGTGCCGGTGCCGGTGCCGGTGCCGGTGCTGTGCTCGTCGTCCGGCTTCAGGTTGCTCATGGTGCGGGGGGGCGGGGGGTGCCGAGAGGAAGGGAGCGCGGAGGGCGAGCGCGGCGCCGGCCCAGGCGAGGGGGTGGGAGGGACGCGGTGAGCGGTGCGCTCCTGGGTGCGGGGCGGGGTGGGGTGGCGGTGGGGGCGCGCGGGGCGGTGAGAGGGGCGGCCGCCGCGTCGGGCCGGGGTCACATCAAGTTTGGCGGGTGCGGGCGGCGTGGAGGGGGTGCGGCGGGGGAGGCACTGCGCGCGGAGCCGAGCCGGAGCGGCCGCCGCCTCCGCCTTTTCACTGCGACCGCCGAGTGCGCCCGCGGCGGCGGCGGCGGCGGGGGGCGGGCGGCGGGGGAGGGGGCGGGCGCTGGGGGCGGGGGCGGGGGCCGGAACCGGCCTCAGCTGGGGCCGGGCCAGCCCCCCGCCCCCCGCGCCGTCTCCGGGGGAACGCGCAGCCAATCGCCGCCGCCCGCTGCGGACTCGCCCTGGCCGGGCCGCGGCGCGCTCGCCTTCAGCGGGGCTTTCCTCCTCTTTCTCTCTCGTTGTCTCTCCGGCTCTCATCTTTCTCCACCAAAGTTTTTAAACTTGGATGAACTTGCCCGGCGAACTTTCTTAAAGGGGCCGCGCTGCCCCGGCCCGCGGGCGGCGGAGCGGGTGCGGCGCACCCGGCGCCCCTCCGCCCCTCGCCCTCCCCGCCCCCGCGGCCCCACGTGGGGGCTCCCACAGCTGGACTCCGAGTCGCCGGCTTCAGGAAGGAGGCTCCGCTCCTGCCCTGACCCGGGATTAGAAGGCCCGGTGCGCCCGTGTCACCCCAAAATCCAGCGCCCAGACCTGGTCCGCGCTCCCAGGAGCGCAGGGCGCGGGGTTCCGGGGAGACGGCGGGGGCGGGGGGTGCGCGGACACCTGGGCTCCGGCCCCGGCTGCGCGCAGAGGGGCGGCGTGACTTTGAGGAAATCACTTCCCCTCTGGCCTCGGGCTTCCAGCCCCGAGGGTGGAACTCGGGGTCGCCCGCTCCCTTCCCCATCCCGGTCACCGACCGGACGGGCGGGAAAGCGAGCCTTTAGGGCCCAAATGGTTACAAGCTCCAGCAGGGGGTGCCTCCATGGCCGGGGAGGTTTCGTTCGCCCCTCCTCTCCCTCCTCCCACCCTCCAGCTTTTGGGTCCTCTCTCACCGCAGCTTTCATCCCTCTCATCTCCCTCCCCCCACTCACACCCTTTTCCCCTCCGGTTCGGAGCCCGGGGCGCAGGGGAGGGAGAGCCACCTGCGGCGGGGGCGCGGCGCGCTGACCCACCCCGGTCTCCAGGGCGCGGCCAGGGAGGGTTTTCCTCCGACTTTGGAAAGCCCGCCGGGACTGAGGCCGGCCCCGCCGCCTCCCGGTGAAAACCGGTCCCCCCTCCGCGGTGCGCTCTGGGAGCGCGGCCGCCCGAGAGCGGGGAGCCGCCCCAGGACCGGACCTCCGGGCGCCCCTGGCCCTGAGCGCGAGCGGCGACCCGGGGAGCCCCGGCAGAGGCCCGGTGGGGACGGGAGAGACCAGCGGGACCGGATCCGGACCCGGCGTTGCCCGGCGTGGTTTGCCTCCCTGCACCTCGTTTCCGTTCCCTTTCCCGGGCAAACCCGGTCCCCGCACCTGGGTTGTAACGTTGGACGCGACGCACTGGGTCGGGGGAGCGAAGTTGGGCGGGCAGGCAACCAGTTAGGATCCCAGCCCCCAGACCAGCGGCTCAGCCCTCGGAGACTCACGATGCCCACCTGCTAAGTGAGGCTGCCGCTACCACGGGCGAGTCTCTAGGGTGATGTCTACGACGTTCCTGACTTTAATCTCTGCAACAAGTCTTTTTTAAAAATATATATTCTTGCCGAAATCGGTTTGGCTCAGTGGATAGAGCGTCGGCCTGCCAACTGAAGGGTCCCAGGTTCGATTCCAGTCAAGGGCATGTACAGTGGTTACGGGCACATCCCTGATATGGGGTATGCAGGAGGCATCTGGTCGATGTTTCTAGCTCTCTATCCCTCTCCTTTTCTCTCTGTAAAATATCAATAAAAATATATATTTTTAAAATATATATATGTTCTTATTGATTTCAGACAGGAGAGGAAGAGTGTTAGAAACATCAATGATGAGAATCATTGATCGTTTACCTCCTGCACATCCTTACTGGGGATGGAGCCAGCAACCCTGCCATGTGCCCTTGACTGGAATCAAACCCTGAAACGCTCTATCCACTGAGCAAAACCAGCTAGGGCTCCACAACAAATCTTAATCTCCCTAGTCTGCCACTTCACAGTTAAGTAAATTGAGGCCTAGAAATAGGCAATTTCTTTTTTTTTTTTTAATATATTTTATTGATTTTTGTACAGAGAGGAACAGAGAGAGATAGAGAGTTAGAAACATCGATGAGAGAGTCATCGATCAGATCAGCTGCCTCTTGCACACCCCCTACTGGGGATATGCCCGCAACCAAGGTACATGCCCTTGACCGGAATCGAACCCGGGACCCTTCAGTCCCCAAGCCGACGCTCTATCCATTGAGCCAAACCGGTCCCGGCCAGAAATAGGCAATTTCTTTCCCAAAGACATGTTCTTCCAGTAAGTCATTGTTGAGCACCTACTATGTGCTTGCTGGTGGGTAGGCCAGAAGCACCATGGTTTCTTTCTTTCCCCTCACCCCCCTCCACTGTGAACAATAGGTTCAGGCTCTAATGTAAGAGAAACTGCCTCCCTTAGGAAGCAGGCTCTGCCATTCCATGAGAAGTGCTTCACTTTACCCACAGTTTTTAGCTTCTTCCAGCCTCTGGCACCTCCAGATGGAGCCAACTTTGTGAGCCTGTGGATATCCTGACCATCCTTCATAAGCCTCAGTCCACCTAGCATTACCTCCCCCACCCCTGCCCTGGATCTTCCCAGCAGGCATACCACCAGCTCTGTCCTGCCAAGATTATTCCTCCTCTCCCTCCTCCTCCCCTTTCTTTCCTCTCTGCTTTTCCAGCCTTATCAATCCAAACCCTCACTTCCCTCAAATTCCTGCTTCAGTTCAGCTCCATTTTTTATTTTTTATTTTTTTGCCTGCTGGAGAAACCTAGCCAGTTTTCTAAACTCAGGCATCCTGTTAGTTGGGAATTTTTCAGAGGAAGGGCATCTTCAGGTTTCCATTTTACAGAGGAGGAAGCTGAGGCCCAAAGAAGTGACAAATGGCACAGGATCCATTGACACCCCACTCCCCCCCATTGCCGTATTTTTTTCATGACATGAAGCTGGTGATTATTTTAAAATATCTATTATTTTTCTGATGATAAAAACAAAATATGCACATGGTTGAATAGTTGTAAGCTATAAAATAGTTTAGGAAACAATCTGCATCTAGAGAGCAATTTATTAATATTTCCTCCCAATCTTTTTGTCTGTGCATAAATTTGCGATCTGTGCTGAGCATAGTTTCAGAATCCCTTTTTTCTTAAATTTGTCAAGAACATTTTAAAAAATTGTTCACTCATGATTGTTTATTATTGTTAACCCCCATAAGATGTGCCATAATTTTAAAAAATATTTTTTAAATTGATTTCAGAGAGAAAGGGAGAGAGAAACATCAATGATGAGAGAGCATCATTGATCGGCTGCCTCCTGCATGCCCTCTACTGGGGACTGAGCCCTTGACCAGAATCAAACCTGGGACTCTTCAGTCCACAGGCTGACGCTCTATCCACTGAGCCAAACTAGCTCAGTTATTAGACATTTTGTTATTAGACATTTGCATCATTTCCAGTTTTATTCTCTTTTGCCTTCATGAGAAATACCTTATATGAAGATCCTAATTGCTTCAGAAATCCTCCTAGATGTGTGACCAGCCTTTAAGCACATTGGAGGCAGCAACTGTCTTATTCCTCCTTGTATCCGCCACAGCCCCTGAAATAGAAATCTCTGATTCCAGCCGAAACCGGTTTGGCTCAGCCATAGAACATCGGCCTGTGGACTGAAAGGTCCCAGGTTCAATTCTGGTCAAGGGCATGTACGTTGGTTGCGGGCATATCCCCAGTAGAGGGTGTGCAAGAGGCACCTGGACGATGTTTCTCTCTCATGGACGTTTCTAGCTCTCTATCTCTCTCCCTTCCTCTCTGTAAAAAATCAATAAAATATATTTTTAAAAAAAGAAAGAAAGAAAAGAAATCTCTGATTCCAGAGGGATTTGGAGATTATAAAATGCAAAGGTCCCACCCACCCTGATGTGAACATTCAGTTGATATAAATGGAGCTAGAGAGGAGTTCAGGGTATACAGCTCTGGCCAGCTGCCCGGTGGGTGAGAACTTTTAACTTAGTCTCCTCCAACTCTGACCTGTAGCCCAGCCTCTAGCAACCTCTTCAGTGCCCCCTATTCCCCCGGTGCCAGGCTTCCCAGGACCTCTGAGCTTCTCACATTTCGTTCGATTCCCTTTGCCTGAGGCCACCTCCCACCTCATCCCCAGCTTCCGGTCTTTCCACACCCACTCCCCTTCCCAAACGCTCTCATAGGGCCTTCTCTGTCCTCCTGAGCTGGGAGTACCTTGTCTTGCGGTCTCACCTACCAGGTGCGAAGATCTCTGACTCTGAGAAGTACCCACAAACCCTGCTAAGGGAATACAGCCTCACCTTTCCCTTTCTGCAGAGAGCTTGATGCGGGATGGGCATTTACAGTGGTAGATGTTCCATAACCTTTTGCTGAAATGACACTGGACCATTCCTGGGACCTCTCGGTTATCTGGGGTATTATCTGGGGTATCTTTTAGGGGTTGGGAAAGATTCAGGTGGCCTCACTCCTGAGAAATGCTGCCCTGGGACCCACCCAGCATCCTGAGGGTATGTGTTCCATGCTACTTTTAACTTCAGCTTCCCCACCATCAGGAAAGCCCGGGCAATGAGAAGGCAGGCAGAGAGGGTGACCTTAAAGCCCAAAGGCTGGGCTGTCGCTAAGGTGTATTTTCTTGGCATTTACAGGTTTAAGCTCCACTTGGTGTAAGGTCTCAGGAAGGGGAGGGGGCTGGATGCTGGCATTTATCAAGTACCTACCCCTACCTGCCCCAGGCAGTTAATGTGCAGTCTGACTTCATCTTCCCATTCTTCCTGCTAGTCCTAATTAAAGATTAGAAAACACGGAGTCCCAGAAATATTTGGGAACTTGCCTAGTTACTAGCGGATGACATGGACGGTGGGAAAAATGGGACATAGCCCTGCGACAGGATTCTGATTCTCTGACCTTGGGCAACCAACCAGCTGAGTATCAGTGGTCCATCGGTAAAATGGGAATACCAGTGCAGGACTTCAAGGACGTGTTATC